GAGAAGGGATTCCTGGTGATCCAGGAGTTCAAGGCCCAATTGGTCCACCAGGAGAAAAAGGAGTTCAAGGAATGCCAGGGCCACAAGGTCAGAAAGGCAACAAAGGGCCGCAAGGACTACAAGGACCGAAAGGTGTAGAAGGAGAACAAGGAGATGAAGGAGATGTAGGAAGATAGGAGCAGCAGGCAGTGGAATTTGTCGGAGATATCGAAACAGTCGCTCTCAGTAATATTAAATATTTTCGTTGTTTTTCTTTCCATCCAATTTGTCGCTTATTCCTCCTTCCGACTATGTCATAAAATTGGTAGACCTGAATTTATAATCGGTACCTTAGCGGAATTTGCTAACAAACATTGGAATATAAAATTTAAGCTTTATCAAACAATACTTCGTTTATTTTCATATTACAACCTCATTATTGTCCAACATTTTCAATTAATTTTGATAAAATTTCACAAGTCAGAATTTTTAATTTGTTTTCTAAACTTAATGAAACTTTTTAAAATTCTTTCGAATGTTGCAACAGACGGATTAAAAAAACTGGTGAAAGTATTTTGTTTTGTTTAAAAACTTTTTCAAAAAACCACACTCGCTGTTGGAAATTTTATGCGAATGGAATCTTCTCCATATTTATATTCCTTATATTCTTAGGATAGGCTATAATTGATAGATCATAATTTAAAAAATTCCCGAAAATTTATAATACTATCAAAAATGTTACAAAAGATTTTAAGACTTAAATGAAATTTGATAAAGCAAATTTCAAGGAGAGATGTCCTATTTATATTGAAAAGTTGGATGAGCGATATGAATCTTTCCGGAATTCGCTAAACACAAAACGCAACATCAAACTATTATTGATGGCATCTGTAATTTCCAAACGCATTTTTTTATGCAATGATTTTTTTCTGTCGATATCAGCCATCTCAGCAAGGTGATTTCATTACAAATGCTTCCTATTTGGATTTTCTACTATGACTGGCCTTCTGTCAGGACTAGCTGACTTCATAGGATGCACTACTTTATGGGAAGCACTATTTCTTCATCTCATTTTTTCTATTGATGTCAGTCAGCCACCAGTACCGATATCATTGGCTGATGCATCCGATTTGGATTTTCTACTATGAATGGCTTTCTATCACGACCAGGTTAACTTTCGGACGACGAAGGATAATCTAATTTACCACTATTACTATCTTCGCTCCAAATAACCGGCATCAGTTAGAGGATCAAATCACTTCTGCCTCTCGAAAGCTCAAAACATTTTCCATTATAAATAGAAAAATTCTGTTCGAAATTGACTTCACTGATTTTTAGTTTAAAACCCTTTCTCTAAATTTTTTTGGCTAGGTTTCTGTGTTCTAAAAAATCATTGACGATTTATTCCTTACAAATTTAAATAAATTAAAAGTTTTAAAGGGTTTGGAAAATTTTAGCCACTGTGTGTCAATGCATCTTTTCGGCACTTTCTTGTTAGTCATCAGCGTGTTTTGTTGCCAAAATGAGTTTCATGAACAGACTATAAGTGAGGAAGATTAAGTATGAAAATATCTTTTGCAAAATACTCCAAAGGTTTGCTCCAGGCCTGCAATTCAAGAGGACCGCCAGGACCGGATGGAATGGATGGAAGTAAAGGAGACCTGGAACCACGAGGAGCGACAGGACCTCGGGGACTGAAGGGTCCAATTGGACCGAGGGGAGACAACGGACAAAAAGGACTGCCTGGGTCGCAAGGACCGCGTGGAGAACAGGGTGAAAAAGAGGAAGTAGAACCAATAATATCAGTTCTCTTATTTTTGGTTGTTTTTGTTTGTTTGTACCAACCTGTCGTTAATGCGTCCTTCCCATTACGCCATAAAATTGATAAATTTGGAATTATAATCGGTGCCTTAGTAAAATTTGCTTAGAACGTTAGAGGGAGCAAATGCATTATTATACTTTTAAATCACAGTTTGCTTTCTAATTTAATTGGAATTTTTGAATTGCAATTGCTAAGAGGAAAGAAAGTTTAAGTTGAACATTTTAATGAATTCAAAAATTTCTAAAGACCAATTTATAAATAACTTAACTAGACTTCCAAACAATTTTGTTTCTCGAAGACTCAAAACTTATTTTTCCTCCCGTCTTCCGGATTCTCTAATAACCCAATCATGAAAAAAATCCATTTAGCTTTCATAAATACCGTTAATAACTATTTAATATTGCATTTGTTGTATTCCACTCGAAAGAATACTTGAAATGCTTCTTTGTTTTATGGATTCCGAAAAGATTATATCAGACATCCAACCTTTCAATATAAATAGAATATTTCTCTTTGAAATTCTCTCTACCAAATTTTGTTTAACTTTTAAAACCGTTTACCAATTCATGACAAAAATTTTTTAAATTACAATTAGTAAATCACGATTTTTTTATGAAGAGAAATTTAAAAACAATTTCAGATCAACAAAATGTGATAGGTTGGTGCGCAGAAAACAAATAAAACAAAGAAAGCCGACATCACCGATAGGAACTATTTCAATATCTCCGATATATTTTTTGGCCTGTTATTATCTTCCTGCTGCTCCTCTCAAACCTTGCAATTTTTCCTTTCTCCCCTCTCTCTCCTACACGTCCTGACAGGCCTGGAGGACCTTGAATCCCACCATTTTTTTATGAAAAAAATTTAAATAAGAAGTAAAATTTAAATAAGAAGCTTGGTTTACATTATCATCGCTCATTTTTTTTCAACAACTATTTAATTTCACATATATTAAAAGAAGTTAAATATGCAAAATGAATTCCACAATAATCAAATCTTTGGATGAAATTTCATTCGAC